AAAAAAAAAAAAGGTTATTATTTAGGTCAATACAGTAGAGCTGCCAGAAATGTTAACATAAACTTGGATGATCGTAAAGAAATCTGGTCCCTAGAACAAGTGAGTCATGCTACACCCAGATTACTAGGTTCAGCTGTAGGACCAACTTACAAAAGCAACAATGAAAAACTGACCCATGCTTATGGAAATGTAATCAATATAGTTTTAAGAAACGGACCACATATCAAATGAGAAAGGAAATGGAACATCTGCCTGGAGATGTCCCAATAGAGCAGCCACAGCACTGATCATCTACAGGACTGCCATGAGGGAAAAGGAGATTTAATTTTTCTGTATGTTCCTTGGGATAGATGCAGCCAGAGGGTGAGATCTGGGGTCGCTATTCCTATGGACCAAATGTGTCCCCCAAAAGTTTACGTACTGGAAACAATCTCCATTGTAACAGTGCTAAGAGAGTGGGAAATCCAATTATGGTGTTTGAAAGGTGGGGACTTTAAGAGGTAATTAGGTTGCGAGGACTGTGGCCTGGTGAATGGATTCATCCATTCATGGAGTAATGGGCACGGTTCTGATGGCTTTATAAGGACAGGAGGTTAGCTGTCTTGCTCAGCCCATTCTCACCATCTGATACTCTGATTTGCTGTAGAGCCACCACCAAGAAAAAGGCCCTCACGGATCTGTGCTCTGTTTCATGGTCTTCCTAGCCTCCTAACTGTAAGAAATAAATTTGATTTCTTTATAAATTACCCAGTTTCATGTGTTCTGTTATAAGCAACAGAACTTAATACAGCTATGGAGCGTGTGCACAGTCAGAGCTTTCTGACATTCAGGACAACACTCTGAACAGTCTGGCACTCAGTGCAGACAACTAGGCAGATGACGACTGAGAGGGAGCAGGGTGGAGATCTGAGCAGAGGGTCTCATCAGAAGTGGGAGGACTCGTCCAACTCTAGCTTGGAGCCCTCCAGCCCAAGACTACTTCAAAATTCCACATACCTGGAATTAGATTCAATAGTAGTAATAAGAGTTTCCTGAAACACAAGAGAAAATGTAAAGTAAGCTAAAGGGAACATCCAAACATTTATTGACGAAAAAACCTGTCTTAAAATAAGATCACCATATTTTATTCAACGCGTTCTTCAAAAAGTGTTGAAAGGGAAAATTACATCATAAACTTCACTAAAATGTCTTAATTTCACCATTTTTTCCAGAATAAAAAATCTTAAGAACTATCTATCTTTAAGTTACTTAAGAACATAACCTGGATAATTTGAAAATATTAAACATTAATACAATACATAAAATATCCTGCACACAACAGACTTCTAAATACTTTAATGTAGAGCAGTTCAATTCTTCAAAAGCATGAATGAAATGTTCAATAAAAACATCACTTATTTCATTCAAATCTGACAGAATGTAAAAGTGTACCTGAATTACATTAATACATGTTAACCAAAAAGAAAAAATAAGAACTGTCATTTCAAGTTCTAATATTCTCACTCACCTTTCCTGAGTCTCCTTTAACTCTGACCAGGCAGTACCAGCAAGACACCCAGCTGGTCTCAGGGAACTGTTCTGTCTGACCTCACCCCCATTACCCCCCACCAGCCACTGTCACCCCAACAACAAACCTCCAAATAACAAAGCCCTATTTTTACCTTCCAGCATTTTCTGAGAGCAGCTCTTCTTGGGAGTCCCCTAAAGTGAACTGACGATGGCCCTGGAAAAATGCATATTTCCCCAAACAGCTGAAAAACTAAGGCCTAGTGAAATATAAGCTTTTCTGGGCTTGAAAATGTGTTAGGAAGCATTCTTTTGATATTCCACACCAGAAAAGTATTAGAACCTCAAAGGAAAGTAGCCACAAATAAGGCAGCTTCATCAGAGAGCCAGAGGACTGCAGCTTCCCAAAGCACAGACGAAAAGACATTTGCAAAAGAGCTGTTCGCTGTGAGTCGAAGCCACACTCCGCAAAGCAAATTAGAGAAGGCGCCATGAAAAGGCAGGAGCCTTTTCAAGAGCAAGGGAAGCAGTTATGAGACCCACCAACCTTGAAACATGGCCTTTAAGATTCCTGACACAGTAGGGGGGAAAAATAAGTCATTTAAAAAGAAAACCACATTTGTTATCTTTTTAAGCAATTTTAAATCTTAGCATCTACAAAAAGTATTCAGAACTACTGCAAGATTATTTTTCAAATTTTGTTATATGAATAAAATTAACAAAGATTACTAGAAATCAAAATATGCAAAAAATATCATTTAGCTCTTAGAAGACAGGCATACGCAGTTCTGAGACAAGAGTTCACAGAAGGTAAAATATTACTGTCACACAAGGTTAAGCTTGAAACAGGAAACACAGCAAACAGAAGCACCCACTACATTGCTATGCTGAGCGCCAGCACATGCATTTCACCAAACATGCTGACAGCTCTTTGTGGAAACTCAGCAGCCTCCCTCCTCTGCCTCCGTAACTGCTATGAGCCCTAGTGTTAAAACACTGACACAGCATCATCACTACCAGCAATAACAATGCTCCTCTAAAGAACTGAATCTAAAAAATCATAACTTTCTGATTGTTTATCATCTTCTTCACACTACAACCCAGGATGCTTAAGAGTTAAAGCAAGTTTGAATTACCACTTAGCACTCTGATGAAAAAGTAAATTGCCTTTAGTGGCCAATGCCATGAGGGGCCTCATTTGGGTGTAGGGATGTAATTAGCAAATGTCTATAATGAAAAGGGAGAAAGGACTATAGCTTTTACGACAGGCTCTGACACCTCTTCACTCTGTAACCCAGACGGATTCAACTTCTAGGAAAAACAAAAAAGGCTAACAATTAAATCAGTATAAGTGATGTTTAATTACCTATAAAAGTCATGTAAAATCAGTATAAATTATGATAAGCTCTCTATAAAAACACACATATTGCATAAAACTTTTGCAAATCAAAGTCATTTCATTTATAAGTTCATCTAACTTAGCCCATTTCTTAGTTGAAGACTTCCTCCCTTAAAATACTGACAGTGGTGCCTTTCATGTAGAGTCCAAAGCCTACAGAAGAAGCCTAAGGGACAGCACCTGCCAAGCCTGAGACGGGTGCTAGACTCAGTTCTGGAGTGTGTGACTCCGAACAAGGTGCTTGACACTTCCCTGCTCTATCGTCTTCAACGTCCTTGGCAGCTCTATGGATCTCACAGGAATGCTGTGAGAACCAGAAAAAATAATTTATATAACAATTTTTTGAAAACTATACCCAAGAAAGGGTATTGCTACTACTAATGTCCCTTATGCAGGCAAATTTGATAGATATGGATATGTTTAACTAAAAATGCATAATTTCTATGTCTACAGATACCTTAATTTGGCAACTTAACATCATTCTTTCCTTTGGGCAGATTCAAGCTAATAATCTTTGGAGCATCTTATTTCACAAGCCAATTAGATATTT